AAAATACCCTTGAATTGAAGGATACTTAATGTAAAATTAACGTGAAAAGCCCTCCAATGTGAGGAGAAGCTATGGACAAGAAGAAAAACCTACGATTAAGAAATTAGAAGCCCAATTTCAATATCTTCTAGTAACTAAGGTTGTCAATATTGTGTTAACATATGTATATATTTTGCTATTAAAATAGTATATACCAAATATTAGAATTTATGTGTACTATTTCAGATTTATTGTTATAAATATATATTTTTATATAAATTAAATATATAATTTTAAAATTATATTTAATAAGCATAAGAAAAATTAATACTAACAAAAATTAATTCTTTAGAAATTAAAAACATATTCAAAATAAAAAAATTCATGAAATGTTCTTAGAATTTCTTTTTTTTAGACAATAAAGATATTATTAAAGAGAAATAGTATATCAACATATTCTACATTTATTTATGAAGATTTATAAATTTATCTAAGTCTATCCCAACTAAAAAAAATTCAACATTTATTTAGATTTGCAATGTATTCTTTTAAGCCTAAACCAAACTAAGAAGTATCTTACCCATTTGGTAAAATAATAATAATAATAATAATAATAATAATAATTTGAGATTTGATTTATAATTTATGTATGTATATTGAAAAATAAAGAAATTTTGTTGACAAAATAGGTAAATTGATAAATGTGCTTTTTTAAGAGATAAACATGTTTCTACAACATTTTTTGATAAATGGTATTTTATTTTTGTTTTTGGTTTTATTTTTAAAAAAATTCAAATAGAAAAAAGAAAAAAGAAAAGAAAAGGATTATACAGCTGGCAACATTTTAGCATATCAATTAATATGCTGAAATTTGATTGAACACTCAAATTTGATCAAAACGAAATCTAATCTTATACCATTTTAGATTAAATATAAAATTGGTATGTATAGGCTAGGAAACAGTATTGAAAACCTTGCAAATAACTCCTAATTTCTCCCAATAACCCTACCTTTATCTTTCGTAATGAATTTTTCTCTTACATGCTTACAAACTCTTAATAACCTTTAAAACACTCTCATAAAGTATTCATGGTTTCAAAGCCCTTCTTAACACTATTTAAGTTTAAAATTCTCAACATCTCGATAATTAAAGAAAAAGAAAGTGACGCTCATCACCACATAAAGGTTGGATTAATCCACACATATCTCTTGGTGTTTCCCACTCCTTAATAACCAAAGAGAATTAAGGCTCTCTCACATTAGCACATAGGAGTTGGATTAATTCACACACCCCTTGAAATTTCTCATTTTGTTAAGTTTTTAATAACAGTATACTCTATCTAGTTGGATTTAGTTGTCTCATTTTATTTATTCATAATTATTAAAAAAAATTCATTTATTATAATAAATATGACTTATTTTTTCATTTTCACACTTACTTATAATTAAAAAAAATTCTATGCTTTTCTACCTCTTTTAAGATAAAGGTAAAATTGAAATATTAGCGTTAAATATGTAACTAAAATAAAAAATAAGACAATTAAATTAGATCACTCCTATTTAAAAGTTAAGACAATTAATCTATTAAAAAAGAGTATTTATATTAGGTTAGAAGTACTAGAGTTCGGTTTCAAGTGGAGTACTGATTTCACTTAAATTTTAAGTTCCCAAATAAAAGGAGACAATCTCCACTCATTAACAAATTCTCAGTCAAATTGACCGTCTAACTTGAGGTTCCAAAATTTATTGGCAGGTTATGAAAACTAGCAACATTCTACCCTTTCTTTTTTTCTTTTTTTTTTTTCAAACAAGGTTACAATTTTGGAATGGAGGAATCAAACTCTAACCTTTAGATTAGAGGATGCACCTTACAAGTAGACATT